CCTTACTCAATCTGTATCACTCCGCATCACTCCAGCTAATGTCCACCAAACAAATGCATGACGGAATCAGGGATTGCTGTCAAAGCTTCCAAATGATAGAATACAGTGTTTTTATGAGGTATGTCACGAGTCCTGTTTTTGGAACCATGCAATGACACCGCCTTTCCACACACAGAACAAAAAGACACTGTGAAAGGTCAACATAGAATAAAAACTGAAATACCACCGAGCCCATCTGAGTGGCTGTCACTGTGGACTGCAAGCCAGGTCAGGCAGGGTTCCCCTACACATACTCTTGTTGTGTGATCACATTTCAAACCAAGAACTACCTGTTCCAAGGAACTGCAAAATGGGGATCACAGCAGAAATGTTTCTCCTGGTGATCTGTTGTACTAAAAGCACGGGCTCTTCAGAGCACCTTGACTCCCAACCCGTCACTACCACCATACCATGCCACACATGAGCAATCAGGCTCACATTTTACACTGCACACACAATCTTGTATTGGCTGTTTATTGCAGTGTTGCACAGATAAGTCAAATTGCACTGGATGTCATGAAGCAGATTCATTTTACTGTCCATTTGTAATTTCCCCATGGGCCTTAAATTTGTTAACAGGGTAGAGAATGGGGTACACACCATTACCCTTTCATTTTATGCACAGGAAGGTGACTTCCAAACCACAAGTGAATACGGAATTGTCATTGTCGAGGGCTTTTACCACCAAAACAATGAAACAATCTAAAGCTGTATTGTATCTGAACATTATTTCCCAAGATGAAGATGGCAAGATGGCTTGAGTATTAAGTTTTCTTTAAAACTATGAAAAAGTTCTATGACATGACCAGGTGAATGACTCTACCAATACAAAGCACTGGAAGACAAAAACTGTTCTGAAACAGAACACAAATGAGCTATGGATTTGCTTATAGTTTGACACACAAAAAATAATTAACATATTTACTGTATAAAACAAAATACTGTTTTTGGAATACTGAAAATTCAGTTATGCCCATAAACCATCCTCAATGTGAGTAGTAAAAACACCTTTCTTAAGCCATATAACCATAGCCTATCAATGACAGTGCTGCTCAGTGAAAGATCGACTATCATCTATAAAGTTAGTTTTCTTTGAAGACGGCCAGATGTGGACCACAGCCCTTCAGGATTCACATCCCCTAGTGTGGATAGCTCTGAATAAGCAGCTACTGTACGTACTGACTCACAGTGGGCTACCATGTAGTGTTGGATGAGTCTACAATACATACAGTAGCCCCTGGAAAAAATGAGCCGTTGGCAAGACCTTGGTTTTTTTCGATTTGTACAGTCATGTATAAATAATCACAGCCCTGTGACTCAGGGAATTATCTTTGTTGCCTGTGTGTTTCTACAGTTGTCTTCACTGGTTTCATGTGATTGTTTTACTAAATTTTGTTAAATAAGTAACAACTGCTGCCCTCCTGAAAATTAATTCCAGCCTGGGGCGACTACTGTATATGCCTGGAGGTTGCATACTCTCCATTTATATGAATAGGCTCTCTCAGTTTCCTCCCATCCCCCAGAGGCATGCAGGAAAGGACTGACTTCAACATACCCCTTCCACAGTTCAATCCTTGACCCAGTGAGGAAAAAGGCGGGTCACCCCACCTCACGTCCTTATTTCATGACCACTGACTAGCCTACAGATGGAATTGAGTGGTGCTGCACAGAGAGGAATAATAAATCTGCTGCCACTTTCATAGACTGATCAATGTAATGAAAAATCACTCCTTGTTTTTTTTATAAACCCCTGATCACCATGCCCTTTAGCTACCAAGTTAACACCTTTATCCATGCATTCATTTGTTAGCAGCCTTATTCAATCCAGTGTCACAGAGGAGCTAGAGCCTATCCCAATGAACTATGTGCCCAACTCCATCATAGGGATCACACAGACACACACGCAATCACATAAGGGGACAATTCTCCTTGAAACAACCATAATGTGTTTTGACTATATGAAACCCACACAAACACAGGGAAAACATACAAGCTCCATAGTACTCCAGGAGGTGGCCATGCTAGTCACTGTGCCATTCTAACGCCTTTCTACACGAAACATATACAGGTTGAAAATCCTTTATCCGAAATTCCAAAATCCGAAAACCTCCAAAATCCGAAAGTTTTTTGGAATGCTGACATGACACGCCACAAATGGAAAATTCCGCAAATAACTTACCGAACTTTCCAGCTCACAATGATGTAATCGATGCCGTGCCCTCTCCCTCACGTTTCTCGGACCTGATGTAGCTGTAATGTCTGGGGCTGCGTTTATCTTCAAGTTTGTAAGCAGTGATCATCATGTTTTGTTTTGTTTTTTTGTACAGTAAGCACAAAACGTTATTTTTACGTGAGATCTGAATTCCACCTCCATGAATGAGTGTAACTTGACTAGCGTCATTAACCGTACTTGTACATTACTTTAAAAAAATTCAGTTTTCATTTTATTTACCTGTAATTATATTCAATGCTTTGTTTTTATACCTTACATAAAACTTAATACCTGTATAGTAAAAAATAAAATACCAATGGCGTACGTGTACTGTAAGCTTTTAATCAAAACATGACATTGTAGGTGGAGACTGATATCTTACCTTTCTTATGGTATTATGTTTAAAAAATAATTAAAAACTTATATAAAACTACATTCAGGGTATATGTATAAGCTATATTATGAAATGTAAATGGATATCATGTTTAGACTTCGGTCCCATCCCCAAACTGTCCCATTTTATAGATGCAAATATAAAAATATTCCGAAATCCGAAAAAATCCTAAATCCGCAACACTTTCGGTCCCAGGAATTTCGGATAAGGAATTCTTAACCTCTAGTATAATACATAAACATAAAATACTAAAACACTAAAATAAAAATAAGGGCATCAATAAATGCATATAAATGTTCTTCTTTCTAACTCCACACATTCTGCAATCAATGATGTTCGAGAAAGGAGGTTCAATAGGTTCCACACAAACTGTTTGTTGAGCTTTGCAAACCTGTATCACATGTAAAAACTATCCAACATCTGCTGGCATTATGTAATATCTAATATGTATTATGTGAATCTGGTGCATTAATGATGAGTTTATTGTGTGTGATGTGTACAGGTGCTGTTAAGGACTTCGCTCTTATTGCAATAACCTGAAGTGAGGTGGAGGGAGACACAAAGAGGAGGAAATGTGTAGAAAGAGTTCTACAGAGTTCCCACAAAGCAGGCTATCAGGAGGTCTCCAGGAAAGTAATGAGTGACATTACTGCTGTAGGATATCTAACAGCATTCCTGCCAACATTTAATAAGGGTAGCCTGTCAGTGCTGTCATCTTTTACTTTGTGGGAACATTAAACATAATCCCTGATTAAGGCCCTTCCTGCAGTGTGATTTAGAGGACAGACTATGACATTTTCAGACCTATAGCACAATTTTCAGAAAATCTATAATATTGACCTTCATATTCTAACTAATGGTACATGTATTATGTAAATTTGATAATAGGGTAGGTAAAATAGACAGTGGTGTTAAAAAAGTGACGGTAAGTACTATTTTTCAGAATTAAACATCAGCAAACCTGCTGTTACCCTATAATATATAAACGTAACTGCCATTTAAGCCTCCACTCATTAATACTTAATTACAGTTTTACAAATTGATGAAAAAACACCTATTTAAGGCAAATGTGATAGAGATAACTTATTTCATTTTTTAAATTACATTCACAAAATGAGTTCAACCATTAAGGTGATAAAACCCTAGATCATGATTTGAGAAATACAAAATCTTAATTTGCAACATCTCCATTACCTTCAAAGACTGCTTCATTCTTTCAGAGTTGAATGCATGCTTTGCAGATGAAGGACAACAGGTGTTGAAGCTGCAGTTCATGACAGATCCCTGTCAACTAAGCCTTTCACAATCCTTCTTTGCACTACAGCCCACTGTGGGCCCTGGCCTCCTGCTCCACATCTCACCATTCGTCTCGAATTAGGGCACGCTGCCTCCACCTGCACACCCTCACTTTCCTCAGATCATCCCCGATGTTGTGAACCCATTGCTTTCGGGGTCACCCTCGTTGTCTCCTCCTGCCTGGTCTTCTGTCTAGCATTTTCTTAGGGCATCTGTCCTGGGACATGCGCTGTACATGCCCCAGCCACCTAATCCACCCACTTTTAATTTAGTTGACAATATCAGGATTGCTATAGAAGATCTCCAGTTTTTGATTGGTCCGAATTCTCCATTGCTCTGCTTCATTGACAGCACTGAATATCCTCCTTAGAATTTTCCTTTCCCATCTTCTCAAAAGCTCCTCACCCCTTACTACCAGGGTCCATGTCTTGGAACCGTACATTAGGACAGACCTCATGAACGTCCTATAAATGGTGTTTCCACAGACAGTCTTTGACTTGAAGATGGGTAGGAGGGCAAATTGACAACGATTTCTGGCAGCTAGTCTCAATTTTACTTCCACGGAAACAATTATCCTTTGTCACCAGTGAGCCAAGGTACTTAAAATTCCCTACATATCTCAAACTGGTCTCCATCCAGGTCTTTCATTTGGTCCTCCGCCCTGTTTGCT